GATGGGGAAGCGAGCACAGAGATGATTCTCTCTCTCTGTTTCTCTCTATATGGTATTGACCTATGAGGCGGTACAGCTGGGTCCCAGCTTTTGAAATCTGAAAGATTTAGGTTCCAATCTCGTATCTGCCATGCACTCCTGGAAAAAATAGCTTTGCCCTCCTGAGCCTCAGTTTGCTCCTCTGTAAAATGGGAATAACAGCCATTTTCTTGGAAAGGTGTCTGTAAAGATTAAAGACAATATATGCAAGGTTCCTGGGCTTAGTACACAGAAGAAGTTACTATTTCCATTCTCCCATCCTTGGCTACACAGCTAAATTTATTGAGGAATAAGTTTTGATTATACACATAATGAGGAGATACATGCATATGTATATCTATACCTATCTATTAATATGTATATATATTAGGAAAATGTACATTCAAAATAAAGTATACATACAAAAAGGGAGATACCAGGATACTTCGAAAGAGTCCTGATGACAGCTTCATTAAATACTAATGTCCGTGGTTGACAAATACACGGAGGTTTTCTCTACAAATGTCAATTTAACACACATTTAAGTTCCATCCTTTTCCTTTTCTTTATGAAAAACTACAGTCAATGCAAATTCCTTCCTGGAATCTAATATGGAATAGATGAATTTATATATTGATCAATGTGAAGAGGTTGATGAAACTGATGAAAACAGCAGTTAACCAACCAGGTGATGCATCAAAATCTGGCCCTATCATTGCATGCCTATCTCTCCTCCTATCAAAGTCATTAGAGTCGTATCTTCCTGGATGATTTTTGTCTTATCTTTTCTGTATTCATAAAATGCATATCAATTGTGAGTAATCAGGGCAAATGGGCAGAATCTAATATATTTATATAGATCGAGTCCTTTGGACCCCACTATAATTTAATTTTCAGTATCTATCTCCTTTATTTTAATTTCCTCTGCCTTCAAATCTTTTTAAAAAAATTATTTAATTTTTGCGAGAGGATCCTGGACTCCTCAATATACACTCGAGTCTGCTGTGCTGTCAGAATGGCACATCTGAAGGAAAAGGTACCCATAGCAGAATTATAATGTATGCCAACTGGCCTATATCTAGCTAGGTTTCTTGGAAACTTCTTTATCTCTGCAATATTTACCAGTTTGGCTCACCTGTCAATAGGCAGATAACAACTGCTGTGTCAGGTAAATTCTCAGCTTTCAGGGGAACTATAATTCTAACTTCAGGATGACAGGAACATACAACTAGAAATTTGATAGGCCATGTGCTTTAAGTGAATGCAGTTAGGATGAGAGAGATTGATGTGGGGTCCAGAGCAGAAAATCATGGCTGCACACACTTCTGAATTGGAAGGAACTGAGGGATCCTCTAAACTTTTGAATACATCAGACTCACATGGAAAACTTGTTAAACGCAGTTGCTGGGCATTTCTAACAAGTTCACAAGGTAATACTGATGCTGCTGGTGGGACCCACGCTTTAAGAATAACTGGTCCACAGCACAGATTTTCTCTCTGTGGTTCCCCAAGGGCTTGCTTGACCATTTTTTGTAATTTTCCTTCTCCCCATTGTTTGCTTTGGGTTTGTTCTACTGTGTTCGGGGTTTTTGTCATAGCTGAGCCCTTCTCCCCCACTGTTCTGGGTGTTTACTTGATGGTGGGCACAGCTAATGGGGTCTTGTAGGATCTGCGGAGGTGCTAGAGCTTCCCCCAAAGTACTTCTGGGCCTCGTTCTGTTGGTCAAGAGGACTGGGGGATGCTGCATCAAGAGGCTGTGTTGCTGGGACCTTGCCTCACCCAGGAGAGGTGGCTCAGGGCCTGTTTCTGGTGGCCAGGAGGGCACAGGGTTGCTGAAGTTCCCTGACATGGGAGGCCCTGTACACCTGAATGCTAAATGGGATGCACTTCCCAGTGCAGCTGGGAGCCCACATTGAATATCTAGTTCCTGCAAGGTCACAGCTAGGACCTCTGTCTGATCCTGAGGAACTGGCAGCAGGGCCTGGAGTCAAGACTCTCACCAGGGGGTTCCTGAGAGTTCCTGATGTAAAGCAAGACCCCTTGAGGCTCAGGCTGGGGGGCACTGGCAGTTGAGTGCTGAGTCACTCAAGACTTTGAAAGATAACTTCTCCCCTTGAATATGTGTGTGTGGGTGACAGAGAGGATGTATGAATAAAGAAAGGAGCAAATGATTCTCAAAAGAACACTGGAAATGGTCTTACCTACAAATTCCCTAGGGTATGAAAGAAAAGAAATTCTGAAAATCATTATGAAAGTGAGAGGCTGTAGAATAGGAGTTTCACTGAAAATGGAAGAAGCAAGTAGAATGTTCAATAAACAAGGGAGCAACTATGCTATCCTTATTAAAGTAATTGGGAAAACATTTAAATATTTAATTTCATCCATATGTCTAAGCTGACTGAATAAATGGAATAAATATAAATTAAATCTTAAAGAAATTATATGCTATCTGAATGTTAAAAATAGGTTATAAATATATGAACAAAAAGACCATTTTAACACAAGTGGGTTGATCGTAGGTCGATGTTAAATACAAAGCTACACTTTTGTCTCCTGGTTCCCAATCCAATATTTTATTTACATAACTGTATCCACATCCCAATAATATTCATTCAATTCTATAGTAGATCACCAACATTCTAAACTATGGACTATGACCAATCTAATAAACAGAAAAAAAAGAGGAGAAATTACAACAGGCATTTTAGAAATACAGAAGATCATAAGAGATTACTATGAGCACCTATATGCCAACAAAATGAATAACCTAGATGAAATGGAGAAATTCTTAGTAACCTACAACCTGCTGGAACTGAACCAGGAATAAATAGAAGACCTAAACAGAAAAATCACAAGCAAGGAGATTGAAACAGTAATTAAAAGACTCACAAAGAACAAAAGTCCAGGCTCAGATAACTCTACAAAATCTTCAAAGATGAAAACCTATCCTACTCAAAATCTTGCCCCCCCCAAAAAAATAAAGTGGGGATGTGGGAAGCTTCCAAATATATGGTTGAGAGGACAATATCATCACACTGATACCAAACCTGACAAGATATTACAAAATAAGAGGGTGCCTTTTTCTCCACATCCTCACCAATATTTGTTGTTTCTGGTTTTGTTGATATGGGTCATTTTCACAGGTGTGAGGTAGTATCTCATTACAGTTTTGAGTTGTAATTCCCACGTGATAAGTGATGTTGAACATTTTTTCATGTACCTATCGGCCATCTGTATGTCTTCTTTGGAGAAGTACCTATTCAGCTCTTCTGCCCACTTTGTGACTGGGCTACTTGTTGTCTTTCTGTTGAGTTGTATGAGTTCCTTGTAGCTCTTGTGTACTAGCCTCTTCTAGGAGGCACAATGTGCAAATGTTTTCTCGCATTTGGTAGGATGTCCTAATTGTAATGACAATTTGTCTTACTGTGCAGAATGTTTTTAGTTTGATGTTGGGCTTCCAGACTTAGGAAAACCATGGTCATGACAATGACCAATGGAGAAGGTGAATAAGGGGGAAACTGAAGTTAGGATCCCTGGAATGAGAGAGTAAAAACACTGCCTCATGTTTATCCTGGATGCCATGCTTGTTACCACTATGTCTCTCCTCACAGGTAGAAGGTACCACAAACAGGAATACTTCACAAGGAACAGTCTAGGTAACAGCGAAATGAATGGTCTCATCATGGAGTTTATAATATATGGCCCTTCAGAACCCCTGTGCCTCAGTTCCTCCAACTTGTAAAATTTACCATTGAGACACTGGATCCTGTGGGACTGGGCCCAGGGATGGTGAGGCACTTTACCCTCAGCTGACTTTTTGCAATTGTCTGTATTTGGTTACTGCTGAAATGGACTGAGGTCATATTAGCACTAAATTAGAGGATGTTTTTCATGTTTCTAAATGTCAAAAATGTTATAAAATTAGTGTAAGCAGAAGGGGAGAAAACACTGGTGAATATTTTTCCATTAGTCCATTGTGTTTGTCAAGGTTGCCCAAGGATTATTTATGAAAAGTGAGAGAACTTCTGTAATTTTGGTGAAAAAGTCAAGCCTCTACTTTTTCTAGCCGGAACTATAAAATCTGCCAGACCTGTGATCATCAAGAAATCTCAAATTTGGTGCTTGTTTATTCATCCACTCAAAGTTTTATTTACCTGATCTTAGCACAATTAACCAAATGGATTACTCAGACAGGTTAGCTGAGCGCACACAGCCCAGGTAACATTTATACAGTTTACTCAAACTGATAAATTGACAAGTAAATTAGACTATGATAACGTGTGTGTGTGTGTGTGTGTGTGTTTTCCAAAACACACACATATGTGAATATTTATATGTAATATTACATATATAATACAATATCCAGAGCAACCATTTTAAAAAATGGTCACCCAAATAATCAAACAAAGTCAAACTATACGGCTGGCCCTTTAAAGCAGACTGCAGATCTGAGACACTCAGGAGGGGAGGTGGGAGAGGGAAAAGGAGAGAATATAGAAGGAGGGCAGGAGATTGTGGTGGAGTGTAGTAGAGGATTGTGGGTACTTTGGTGGTAAGAAAACTACAGTGACCACACCTGAGGGAAGAAATCCTATATTGTGAAAAAATACACAAGGATATATTTTTTTTAATGGCTATTTACCCAAAGCAATATCTGAATGAAAGGATGACATGACATTGTCCTTGATCTCAAGAAACTAACAATCTAGTAGCCAATAAACCAGGGACCTATTCCATCAAAAGTCAGATCTATCTATCTATCTGTCTATCTATCTATCTGTCTTTCTGTCTGTCCATCCATATGTACAGCCAGCCACTCAGCCATCCATCCATCCATCCATCCATCCACCTAATGCAATTAATCATAACAGTTTGAATGAAATGTGGAAATTTTGTGGAGATTCTGGAAGGTTCCCAAAGAAAAATCACATAGCAGATCCACCAAAGTCTTGAAGTAAAGCCATGCTCTAAGTCTGACATACCTCTCTGCAGCTATGTCCTTGGCCCAGTAGGAGTTTTCTTCCCCGAGGATTGCTTGACCTACACAACCTGAAATCCAGAAGAAAGCAGACAGACTAGGAGCACTGTAATAATCAGAACAATGCATTTTTCCTTAGAATTTTTCTCTTACAGTCACAAGTAATTTGAATGCCAAGTAGCAAGAATCACAGGAAAATGTGGGTTAGTCAGACTTTCCACAGGTTCTGTGACACAATTCATGTTCCTTCTGATGGTAAATAAAAGCGTAAGTGAACAATAGAAAAGGCTGATTAGACGATGTCCAGTTTGAAGTAAAACGCAGATAAATCCTGATATCTATCACCATGTTAAATCCTTAGACATTCTGTGCCTTCTGATAATATTGGGGAAAGAGATAAAGACAGAGGAAGAAAGGAAGCAGAAAGTCGAAGCAAAACACATCATAATTCAATTGATACAGCACATTTTATCCCTTCTTTTTCTCCTTGTCTGAGTGGTTCTTCCTTACCTTGCAAATTCAGCAACTGCTCTTCAGAGACACAGTGAGGTCTCCCAGCAAACTCTGCATCCTGAATTTGGCCTCATCTGTGTCTAATGGAGTCTCCCTCTAATGAAGAGCATCATGGTTCAGTGGATTCACATCATTCATTTCATCCATTTCAAAAACAACCCCCCACACACTAATTTATTGTAACCAGCACATTTCAAAACAAAAGTTGTTTGGGATTTTAGTCTCTTATTAAAAATTGGGAATGCTGGGCCTCCCCAGTGGCGCAGCGGTTGAGCACTGGGCTGTGAAGCTGCCTGTATCGTCTGCAGCGCCGGTTCGATCCCTGGCTGCCGGGTGAGGGTCCCACATGGCGGGCAGACCTCTCCTGCCGCCCGCTGCTCCCCTCAGCAGTGTCCTTCGGTCCTTCTGCCTGTTCTGCTCTCCGCTCTGGCTCTGGTGAATTCTCTCACCCTCCCGCGCTTCTGACTGTACCCAGTGCTTGTATAAATAAATAAATAAATCTTTGAAAAAAAAAATGGGAATGCTAATACACATAATTTTTCAAATACTTCCAAAAAAGAAAAAGGCAAAAGAAAACACGGGTTCTCACAAAATAAAATGAATCAGTCTCCGTGTCTGTAAACCATTTACCTATATGCATCTTAGCCTGATTCTTAACTTATTTTGCATGTTTATAATAGCTTATATACACTTTTGTACATTTTTAACCTCTAATTCAGCACTATCTGAGTTATATAAAAATCAGTCCTTATTTTTAAGGACTGCAGAGATTTAAATCAACTGTTCTTTCTTTACAGCCAGTCATTAGATTCACTGGGTATCATTTAAGCTGTGATTTGTTTGTCCATAAACTATTCTTCTGCACGTCCATCCTTGTAAGAGATTATGACCAAAGTAGTTATAAGTTGACTACTTGTTGATTGATTCTGCATTATGAGTCTTGAGGGCAGGGAATGCAAAATTTTCTACCTCTGTTCCTCCAGGACCCAGCACAGAACCTGACTTCCAGGAGCAGTAAATGCTCTTGGAAAAAAAATTAACTCCCTGATCATTCAGGTAGGCATACAGTACCCTGCAGGAACTGAGAAAATTATAAAATGCAGCGTTCAAACTAAAGACTTAGAGCAAAACCTGCCAGTAGTTACCAGGGAGACCAAGGACATGAGTTTCTCATGGGAGCTTCTCAGCAAAGGAGTTGACCCATATAAACACCTCTCTCCCTTGGCAGCGTGCTAATTTCTATTTCTCAGTAGGTGGACTGTTACAGGAATTCTTTTTCTGAGTACAATTCAGATTACAGTTGAGATTCCTATTGACAGCTCTGATTCAAATGCCTTTTACCAGAGAAGGGGACTTGCTGGAAACTCCCTGGTTTTACCCACAGCATACTACAGATCTGTTTCTATACCTGTGTGCCTGCTTTCTCACCTGCATACCCCATGCCCATTGTGAGCTTCTTGAAGGATGTAGTGCAATCTTACCCATCTTGGTGTTCCCCTAACTTAGCCTGATACCTGGAACAGTCCACATGGAATTCAAATTTGAGCACAACGTCTATGATTCAAAGCCCTGGGATCTTTTCATTCATTCTGCAAATATGTGTGGACATTCTGCAATAGATGGCTACATGCTACCTGATGGGGACACAGAGGCATATGAGACATTAGGTGACATCCTTTGAAATGCTTTAAGGTATGTTAATAAAAACTTGGCTTAGTCTAAAGGAGTGTATAAGTAACCCCCAAATAATAATAAAATAACAATCTAACTTAGGCTCCACTTGGCTAGAAAATACTAAGGCCTGATTCTGCAACAAATGCCCAAAATAACAGCGTCTTTAAAGGACCCGAGTACTTGGTGGCAGTGGAAACAAAGGTTCCTCTCTCCTTTACAGGACGCACAGCGAGCAGCAGCATCCACAGAGCAGGAATCGAGAGCTGACACAGGGGCAAGCTCTGTGTAACTCCGGGAAGGCTCACCCGGCTTGCTGACCACTGTGATTAATCAGAGGTGGTCCCTTCTGGTTTGTATCGTCATCCTTCAGCAGATGCCTCCAGCAAATCAGTCACATTTGAATAAGTGGTTCAAATTCCCATTGACACTGAGAATCCCTAGAAACATGACCCAGGAAGGGGCAATTCTCTAGAGGAAAGGCAAGGCCCAGGTCAGTTAATCTCATCAGCCATGTCAGGAGTACCAGGAGTGGGTAAAGCTGTCCACGGGCTCTGGCACCTGTCCCTCCAGGGGCAGCCTCTTTCTCTGCCTATCCAACCCCTTCCTGCTTCCACCCCATTCCTCGGGGTCCTTTACAGCTGAGGGCTGGTCTCTGCAGCTCTGAAAGTCTCCGTTCCCACCCAGGCTTTGTCCTATCTGCATCACATTACTGCAACTGACCTCAGTTTAGCCCTCTGAAAAATAGAGATTTAAATGCCAATGCATTCGTTTGTTTGAACTACCATAACAAGACACTATAAACTGGCTTAAGTAACAAAAATGTGTTATCTCTCAGTTCTGAAGGCTGGAAGTCCTAGATGGAAATGTCAGCAGGCCTGGTTCCATCTGAGGCCTCTCAGGGGGAATCTCTCCCAGGACTTTCTCCAGCTTCCAGGGGCCTCCAGGGTTCCTGTGCTGTGGACAGTGTTACTCTGCATCTGTCTCATCTTCACATGGTCCAAGTCTGTCTCCGAATTTTCCCTTTTTATAGGAATGCAGGTCATATTGAATTAAGGTCTACCCTGGTGACATCATTTTACCTCGATCACCCCCGTACAAACCCTATTTCAAATAAGGTCACATCCTGAGGTAATGGGCAGCAGGTCCTCAGCAGGGCTTTTTGAGGGGATATGATTTAACAACCAAGTTGATCGCGTTGTTATAATGCTACAAACACAGATGTTCCAAAGTGTGTAGATGGCAAGAAAAAAAGCTACTCCCCCTTCCTTTTAATTTTCAGTTATGATTTTTATTTAGCCTTTCCCTGAAACTCTTTGTCCCTGGCACTATCAATAAGCCTCCCCTATAATACGTTCTTGACCAGCACTTTCTCCAACCTCGTCCTTGCGAGAATATTAGAGTTGGCACAGAGCTGGGCACTCAGGAGATGCTCAATAATTTTTTTTTAAGTTTGTAGAAGTTTTCCTATAAAGGGAAAGAGTTTTGCTTTTTTCAAAAGAACCCTTCTGCTTAATTTTTTTAAGAATATATTTGTTAGTGGAATGAATGAGAATAGAATAGTACAGTGTTTAATATGAATAAATAAAAAACACACTTAGCTTTGAATGATTTATGCAGCGGGTTTGACACTTCACAGGGACTCTGAATTCAGGGCTATGTTTATTATGCTGCTTGGTACGTCCCTCCCCTGCCTCCATCAGCTCTCGCAAATTATTTGACTTGCGCTACAGTTGAAAGGACTGAAACGGTGCTAGCAAGGACAACACAGACACCATGGGGGAAGAGGCCCTGGGTGCAGGGAGCACTTCCAGGAGCCAAGGGCTCCGTCTGGGCAGCAGCAGCAGGAGGAGAATAGCCAGTACCAGGTCAGACTGGGGCAAGTACTGTGTGTTCTGGAACTGCCAGTTGGTTTACCCTGCTGGAGCAAACAGTACCTTTTCTCAAGTGTGGAAGGTCAGTGGGAGCGCTGAGCAGGACCGACAGTGGACGACTGTTGACGGGTGTAGAGAGTTGGGACTTTGCCCTGAAGATAATGGGGAAATGGAGCCCTCAAAAAATTAGAAGTAGGCAGTGACTTTATTAAGGATCCATCATGCAGCAAATCTCTTTTTGTTTCTCTAAGTTTTGTGTTGGTTTTGGGGATGATAGAAGGTGAAAGTGATCTAGTTCCTATTTTTGGGTAGGTTACAAATAAGGGACTTTTCAGTTATTTCAGGAAAATATTCCTAACCCTCTGGATTTTTCCTTCAGAAAATGGCAGTATGAGGTTGCACAGTTCCTTCCTGAGGGAGTTTTGCAAATTCCAGAGAGTAAACGAAGTGTATGTTTGACACTAGACGTTTTATATATTTCTTTAAAGTAAGGGCTGTGAGGTTAGAGAGATTTCTGTTCAAAATCAAGCTTCTCCACTAATCATTTAACACTTATTATCTTTCTCCAAATAACTTAAACATACCACATCTCTGTACCTTCATCTATCAAGTGAGACTATCAATACCTTCCTCAAGGGGACGTTTAAGTATTAAATATGAAAATAATGTAAAATGCCTAGAGCGAAGCCCAGCATATTTTAGTACTCAGTGCATATGAGTTTTATATGTCTGCCACTTATGTTTAAGCCAGTGTTTGGGATACAGCTACTCATATTTTTAAAGAAAGCAGTGTGCATTTCGGGAATTACATCTTCTAGTATTTTGGATGTGCACCAAGAGGTCAAAATCACCTTCAGAAAGTATCACTTGTTTTCCCTCAAAGGGTACCTTTGCATATCTGACTGTATATAAAGGAATGACTTAAAATGATTTATAAATGTCTAATTACTCAATACGTACATCGCAAATATCCCACAATTGGGAATTGGATTTGCTCAATGTATGCTTAAATT